TCCAATCCATCTATTTCTTTATGATTGATTTCAGCCTCTGGGGTTCGTGCTTAGAAGACCTTCTTTACCCCAAGATTATATAAGCATTCTCTTCTATTTTTTAGTATTTTTATGTTTGTTAAAAATAATATTTACGTCTTTAATCTATTTGGAATTTATTTTGCTTGAGCTGGTGATCTCATTGATGATTTTTAAACTGGTTTCTCATAAATTATTTTTGCTCTCAGATCAGCCTGTGTCCAATCAGTTGTCTTAGTGGCTGGCTCTTAGAAACTAGTTTAAATGATTTTTCTCACAAAAAATCCTTGGTAAATTGCTGGCCTGGCCCAAATCGGCCCAAAAGTTATTTGCAGTTTCTGCTGGGGCCGCCCCAGGTTGTTGCCTTGTCCAAGGCTTGCCCAGTGCCTGGCTCAGAATCGGTTCTTGCCTGGCTCAGAGTCGGTGCTTGCCTGGCTCAGAATCGGGGCTTGCCTGGCTCAGAATCGGTGCTTGTCTGGCTCAGAATCAGTGCTTGCCTGGCTCAGAATCGGGGCTTGCCTGGCTCAGAATCGGTGCTTGTTTGATGAAGTGAGATCTCCTGCGTTGATTTACTTCTAATAATGGGGGTTGGCTTTTAGAAGCCTTTATCTCTTCCCTCATGTATATGATATGCCTTGTATCAGCTTTCGAAAGAACCTTACACATCCCCACAGCAGTAGGCACTAATGTGGGTACGTTTCTCTTTTTTGAAGACCTAAACAAAATATTTTAAATTAAATATTTCAAACATACTGAAAACAATGTAGTAAACATGCAGATACCCCTGCTCAGCATTAGCAGATGCTCATTTCAAAGAATATTACCAAACGAGAAGACTGGGAGATCGTGGTCTTCTGTTCACCCTCTCCTGCATGTAAGGCCAGATTGTTAGTCCTGACAGGAGGCAGATTTACTGACTTCTCAATTATCTTACTAACGAGCATTGGCAGAGCTTTTCCCTTTCCTGCTTCTAAATCATGTCGCAGAGATGGGCAGCCTGGGGAAAATGTTTTTTCTTTCAGGAAGGCTCTCCAAATCAAAAACCAGATAACTGAGAAAATAACAATATTCCCTCAGTTCTCACCACAAGATGTACCATTTGATCTGAGTTATTAACAAATTAAATCATGCCATAGAGATGAAAGAATAGTTTAAGCTTATTTTGCCTTTCGAGGTCAGGTTTGTAACTTGGCTATTCTAGTCACATTTAAAAAAAAAAAACGCTTTAATATATGCTCTAAGCCTGTTGATGTGCAGAATATTTCTGGAAGGAACTATAAGAAACTAGTAATATGGTTACCCTGGTGAGGGAGCTTTGTGATTAGGGGCCACAAGAGGAAAGGAGTTTTATTTACCCTTTTACAACCCTTTCAAATTTTGTATTATGTACATTTACTTTTGGATTTACATTTACTTTAATGAACTTGCCTAGATTTCTAATCTTGCCCAAAAGCCACCTTGGGTGGGCTTGGTTGAAGTGAGAGGATCTTTCCTCAAGCCCCTTTTCTCCCTTTGCTTTGCTCCGCCAGGCTGGGAGGGAGGGGAGAAAAAGGGAATGGTATTTTTTCACTTTGAGAGGCTGAAGGCAGGAGAGATCTAGTTATCATTATCTGATGGCTAAAATGGTGGCAAACAGAACAAGATCAGACTTCTTAGTCAGTGAATGGCAACTTTAGCTGCATATTGGAATCATCTGGAGAGCTTTAACAACTGTTCCTGCCTGGGCTCCCACCCAGACAGGCTGATTTCTTAATGTGTGGCATCAGAATTTTAAAAGAACCCACATGATTCTAATGTAGAACCAAAGCTAGGAATGTTCGCTTTGGTAGGACTTGACTCCCTCATCCATACTGCCTGCGGGAAATGTTTTACCAAAGGCTTTATAATCCCTAGATCCATGGCTTAAATTTACTTGATTATTAGAATCTCTTGGAGTTTTATGGAGCCCTGGTAACACAGTGCTTAAGAGCTTGGCTGCTAACCAAAAGGTCGGCAGTTCGAATCCACCAGCTGCTCCTTGGACACCCTATGGGGCAGTTCTGCTCTGTCCTGTAGGGTCACTATGAGTCAGAATCGACTCAGCAGCAATGGGCTTTTTTTTTTGAGTGGAGTTTTATGAAGGCACAGATACCCAGTCCAGACTACTGACTACATGTGCCAGCAGCTGGTCAGGAGCTAAGGTGAGCAAGTCCTCCAGGTAGGTCTGGGAAATGGGGTCCAAGGCTTGATGTGAAGTTATCCTTTCAAAGGATGGATGTGAAGTCTCCTTCTTGAAGGACAGATGTGAAGTTGTCTTTTTATAGGATGGATGTGAATTCTCATAGGATGGATCAGTCATGTCTCAAAGGACTGATGTGAAGTTGTCTTCTTATAGGATGGATGTGAAGTCATGTCTCAAAGGATAAATGTGAAGTCGCCTTCTCAAATGACAGGTGTGAAGTTATCTTCTCAAAGGATGGATGAGAAGTCATCTTCTCAAAGATGAATATGAAGTCATGTCTCGAAGGATGGATGTGAAGTTGTCTTCTTGTAGGATAGATGTAAAATCATGTATAGAAGGACAGAAGTGAAGTCTCAGGATGGATGTGAAGTCGTGTCTCAAAGGATGGATGTGAAGTTGCCTCTCAAAGGATGGATATGAAGTCTCTTAGGACAGATGTGAAGTCGTGTCTCATAGGACGGATGTGAAGTCGTGTCTCAAAGGATGGATGTGAAGTTGCCTCTCAAAGGACAGATGTGAAGTCTTAGAACAGACATGAAGTAGTAATCTTCTCAAAGGACAGATGTGAAGTCTCAGGATGGGTGTGAAGTCTCATAGGACAGATGTGAAGTCATGTCTTATAGGACAGTTATGAAATCATCTTCTTGCAGGATGCGTGTGACATTGTCTTCTCAAAGGACAGATGTGAAATCACATCTTGAAGGATGGATGTGAAGTCATTTCTCGAAGGACAGATGTGAAGTTGTCTTCTCATAGGATGGAGGTGAAGTCATGTAGAACAGATGTGAAGTCATCTCGTAGGATGAATGTCAAGTATCTAGAATAGATGTGAGGTTGTCTTCCTGTAGGATGATGTGACGCCTCCTAGGATGGATGTGAAGTCTTCTCAAAGGATGGATGTGAAGTCATCTTCTCGTAGGACAGATAGGAAATCGTGACTTGAAGGAGGGACATGAAGTCTCATAGTACAGATGTGAAGTTGGTGTCTGCCTTGCCTGTGCTCTCTGCTGGCTCATTTTGGACTGTGCCCCCCGTTTTTGTGGAGTACATGTCAGTCTTGGCGTGGTTTCCTGCACATCTCCTTGTAGGTGTTCTGGCTTCTGAGAGATGAGGGCTGCTGTGGCTCTGAGTTTGAGTTCTTTTGTGAATTTTTAAAGCTGTTAAGTAATAGAGCTGAATCTAGGTTCTCATCCAGTTTCCTTTCCTTTGCCAAAGGAATCTGTGTGTTCAAACATTTCAAGCATCCCTTCATTGGGGACATGGTAGCTAGAGTTGCTGAGTAAATGGTACTCTTTCCTGCCCTTTAGGTCCTGGTCCCCAGCCCTTTGGGCCCCATTGATGAGCCACTCCCAGCTTCTGTTGCTGGCTCTTTTCCTAGTTAGCTTTTCCAGACAAGCTTGCCCCACTCCTACGGTGTGCCAGGTGCTTGGGTTTAGTGAGCTCTTGCTGTCTGTGGTCATGACCCATTGTTTGATTTTCCTGTGTCCAACTTATTGCCTTTGAAGAGCACACCTCTGACTTGCCAGATGCTGAAACTCATGTCTCAGCACTCAGGATAATGCACACAGGCCTTTAAATGAATTATTTTTTATTAAATAATTATAGAATAATAGTTAACATCAGAAAATAGAAAGTGTAAAACAAAAATCAGCTGTCCCGGTCTCCTCCACCTTCCTTGGCCCGTCCCTGGAGGGAGCCACTTCCAACGGCCACTGTTTGTTCACACTAGCACATTCCACCTCGCCTCTGTGGGCTTCCTTCCAGATAGAAGAAGATCACAGCTCATGCAGAGCCATTAATCCCTTCTGTCCTCTCTCTATGACTTCTGTTTTTAGGACAGTCTGTTTAAAAAGGAGCAAAATAACAAAATGCCTTACACAAGATGGAGTTTATTTCTCTCTCATATAGTAAAGTAGAATCAACTCAGGAGTGATGGCAGTATTTCCAGAAATCAGGGACCCAAGCTCTTTCTGTCCTGTGGCTTTGCCCTCTTCAAATGTGCTTTTATCTTGTTTTCCAAGATGGCAGTCCCAGGTCTCCACCACAGTCCAGACAGTAGGAGGGAGGGGTGCAAGGAGAGAGGATGCCTCCTTCCCTTTAAGGCAGGACCCAGAGGTTATGCAAACACCTGAACTCAAATTCCACGCAGCTGTCCACTTCCCTCCTCCATGGACTTTTATTTAAATGTTTTATCAATAATAATAATTAGCTAGTATTTGGGTGGTTGATATGTGTTAGACACTGTTCCAAGTGCTTTATATATATTTACTAATTTGGTATTATTTCCCTTTTACAGACAAGGAAACAGTCATAGTCAAACCAAGTAGCTCGCGACAAGTCGTGCAGCTAGCGAGCGGCAAGGCTGTGACTCCAGAACACGTCTTCACTGACGATGCTTTTAACTCGGGGTCCCTGGCCCACTAGGGAGTCCACCTGTGAGGTTGTGGGTTTCGCCAAATTCTCACTTGGGTGCCCTGTTACATCCATACTTCAGGCAGGCAGAAGGTGGTCGGATGTGCCCAGACTATGAGCAGGAGGCACTTAGTTAATGTTTAATGTGTGGGCTTATCGTTGTCAGCCCCAGCCCCAGCACTGCCTTCTGCTTGCTCAGCTTGTGCCAGGGTGAGTAGGCTAGAAGCACCAGTGTGTTAAGGATGAAAATATGTCCTGCCTGCTGGCTCTACACTAATTAAAGACCTTCTTAAGTGGAACCTTTTAAGATGACACTGTAAACATTTATTTAGCTCTTATTTCTTGGGCTGATGGGCCACAGTCAACGCTGCAGTCGGGCTCCTGAGGGGCTGGAAGTGGCAGAGCTCTGAGGGCCGCTGGGTGCTACAGTGCTTTGCTGGGGGGCTACCCAGCTCAGCTAACTCTTGTTTCATTGACACAGTGACCAGGAGTCAAACTGTGGAATGTGCACATGATGACGGACAATAAGGAGTTAGAAGCTGAAATCCACCCCTTGAAGAATGAGGACAGGAAATCGCAGGAGAGCCTGGGGAACCTCACCACAAAGGAGGACCCCTGTAAAAGCCTGCCTCCGCAGTCCCGGCTGTCCCGGTGCCGAACAGTGGTGTTTTTTCTCTCCTTGTTTATCTGCCTTTTTGTGGTCTTTGTCGTCTCATTCATCATCCCGTGTCCAGACCGGCCTGCGTCACAGCAAATGTGGAGGATCGATTACAACACAGCAGGTGAGCCTTCAGATGTGTGGCTCCGGCTACCCAGTGCCACGCAACCCTGTCTGAGTCCACGGGGTGGCTGAGGGTGGGAGGGGTAGCAGAACTGTGTCTCAGTGAGACTAGAAGTGGCCTTTAACAGAGAATCAACCCTGAGTGGCTGTAAGTTTTACATCCAAGATCTTTCTGGAATTTTAGGGAGCCATAGAGCAGTCTCTCAGTGAAAATGGGAGGCCTGCCAAGGAAACTTAGTGGCCCTCTCTCTACTTTAAGGAAGGACAAGTGGGATGAATAAGCAAAAGGACCCATCTGGTTACTTTTCTGAATTAAAAAAAATTTTTTTCATAAAACAGAGCGGCTGGATGAATAGATAGAGAAGGCTGCCATAAAATGTGAAAAATACACAGGAGATTTTGTAGTCCAGTCTTCCTGAGATATTCCTACTAACACTCTAGTTAGCTAGAGTAAAGGACACTCTCATTTCGCTCTCCTAAAATTGGCATCCGGAATCTTGGCCTTTATGAAAGGCAGCTGCATCCGCCTTTCCCAGGACACTCCACTCTGTCTTAGAGATGAGAGAACAGCTTGTCCAGTCAGCATGTCCATGGGTGTGAATTCTAATAGCCTCGGAATGTTTCTTTACATGGACTTGAGGGCCTCTCTGGTGGGTTGAAGAGAATTTCTTGTTGACGCTTACCACATAGGGTCAATTCTGTTCAGAATTTGGAACTTGGTGCTTAATTTTGAGGGGGTGATACATATTTCCCTCTTTTTCTTTTCCAGCTTTATTGAGGTATAATTTACATACCATAAAGTTCACTCGTTTTCAGTATACGATTCGGTGATTTTTTGTCAATTTACAGATTGTGCAACTATCCCCACTTCAGAACGTTTCTTTCATCCCAGAAAGATTCCTCATGACCATGTGTCATCAATCCCCGTTCCACCCCAGCCCTAGGTAACGACTAGTATGTTTCTGTCTCCGTACATTTGCCTTTTGTGGACATTTCATATAAATAGAGTCACACAATCTATAACCTTGTAGCGTTTTGAGTCTGATTTCTCTCTGGAGTAGAATTCTAGGAATGGAATTGTTTGGCCTTATGATAAATTCTTGTTTAACTTTCTAGGAAACTGCCAAGCAGTTTTACAAAGCAGCTGCACCACTTTACATTCCCACCAGCAGTGCAAGAGGGTTCTAGTTTCTCCACATCCTTGCTAACATTTACTATGTTTTCCATTATAGCCATCTTAGTGGATGTGAAGTTGTATCTCATTGTTTTAATTTCCCAAATGACTGATGATGTTGAGCATCTTTTCGTGTGGTTATTAGCCGTTCTTATATCTACTTTGGTGAATATCTATTCAAATCTTTTGCTCATTCTTTAATTGGATTGTTTGTCTTCTTATTATAGAGTTGAAAAACTTGTATTTGTATCCTAAATAGAAGTCCTTTATCTGATACATGATTTATAAATATTTGTGACCAGTCTGTGGCTTGTCTTTTCATTTTTATAACGGTGTCTTCTGAAGCTCAAAAGTTTTTAATTTTGGTGAAATCCATTTATCAGTTGAAAGATTCAATTTTTATGGATTGTGCTTTTTGTGTCATACCTAAGAGAGCTCTGCCTAATTCAAGCTCATGAAGATTGTCTCCTGTTTTTTTTTCTAGAAATTTTATAGTTTTAGCTCTTGTATTTAGATCCATGATCCATTTTGAGTAACTTTTTGTGAACGGTGTTTCAGTGAAGCAAATGGTGAAATTTCTGGGAACCATAACATCACTCTCCCATCTTAGCAAGACTATCTCAAGAGGCAAGGAGGCAGGCTCAGTTCCTAGCACCCCACTTGGCTACTGACCACTGCAGAAACCCCATGAGTCTGGGATGGTGGGTTTACATATCAATATCCAATTGCCCCAGCACCATTTGTTAAGACACTGTCCTCTTCTCATTGAACTGCCTTGGCAACTTTGTTTAAATTCAGTTGACCATCGGTTCTGTTCTGTTGGTGTCTATGTCTGTCATTGTGCAGGCACCACATTGGCTTAATAATTGTAGCTTTATATTAAATTTTGAAATCAGGAAGTGTAAGTCCTCCAACTTTGTTCCTTTTTTTCTCTCAAAATTGTTCTGGCTCTTTTGAGCCTTTTGCATTTTCATGCAAATTTTAGGATCAGCTTGTCAATATCTCAAAAAAAGTCTATTGGGGTTTTGATAGAAATTATGCAGAATCCACAGATTGGTTTGTGTAGAGTTGACATTTTAACAATATCGAATCTTCCAGTCCATGTATATGGAGTGTCTCTCCATTTCTTTACATCTTTAATTTCTCTCAGCAGTATTTTGTAGTTTTCAGTGTACAAGCCTTGCCCTGCTTTTGTTAAATTTATTCCTAAGAATTGTAGTCTCTTTGATCCTATTGTGAATGGGATTGTTTATTGATAGTATATAGAAATACTGTTGGTTTTTATACCTAGATCTTTTATGAGCTTGCTGCTGAACTCATTTATTTGCTCTAGTAGTTTGCTTGTTTGTTTTGGTGGATTGTTTAGAATTTTCTACATACAGGGTCATGTCATCCGTGAGAAAAAGACAGTTGTTTTTTTTTTCTCCCTTTCCAGTTCAGTTGCCTTTTATTTATTTTTCTTGCCGGATTTCACTGGCTAGAACCTCCAGTAGAATGTCGAGTGGACGTGGTGAGAGTGATTGTTCTTGTCTTCTTCCTGATCTTAGGGGAAAAGCATTCCATCTTTCATCACGAATTATGATGTTTTTCATAGGTGCCCTTTATCCGCTTGATTAAGTTCTCTTCTATTTGTAGTTTACTGAGAGTTTTTATCATAGAAGTGTTTGGATTTTGTCAAATGCTTTTTCTGTATCTATTATGGGTCATGTGGGTTTTGTCCTTTATTCTTTTGATGTGGTTATTACATTAATTGATTTTTTCAGATATTAAACTAACCTTATATTCATGAAATAAAACCCACTAGATTAGGGTGTATAATTCTTTTTTTTTTTAAGTTGCTGCATTTGTTTATTAGTTTGTTTTGAGGACCGTTGTGTCTATTAATGAATGATATTGAACTTAACCTTCTTTTCTTTGACGTCTTTATCTGCTTTGATAGGATAGTTATTCTGGCTGTGTAGACATGTAGATGACTAAGGCCCTCTTGGCTCTCTCGTGAGGGTTTGCAAAGCCTTCCCAACTGCCAGGGATATGTCGGGTCTTATCAAGACCAGTGACAGCTCTCATGTCCTGCATGTCTCTGTTGGATTTCTGGCTAGTCATCCTATCTGTTGCTTGCCCTGAGTGTTTGATTTTTAAGGCCTATAGTTTACTCTTTGAGTCCTTGAATGAAGAAATGTAGGAGCCCCTAGTGAGTAGAGAGGGATGGACTATGTAGATCCCAGATCTGTCTCACGAGGGATTGGTAACTGAACAGAAGGTGCTCACGGTGTCCATTAGTGACATCCACGTGTCCTGGTTGCCTTTCTGGAGGTTAACACCTGATGTTATCCTCCTGTCCCATCGTGTTCATTAGAGTCACCACTGTCCCAAAGGGCTGTGGGAAGTTGCTAGTCCTAGTGAGGAAGAAGTGCTGCTTGGTTTGGGGGTGATCTCACAGTAGTAGGTTTTCACTGTTCCAGAGCCCCAGGGCAGAGCAGCCCAGTGGGGACAGCAGCGAGTGCTGGACTTGACCCTGGTTGTGGGCCTGAGATGAGCACGCGGTTTTCTTTTCAGTCGCCTATGACTTTCTGGCTACGGAAGACATAAACAAGGACAGGATCCAAGACGTGCTCTTTCTTTATAAAAACGCCAACAGCAGTAACCATTTCAACCGATCCTGCGCCGATGAAGGTAACCTTGTTTTGATCCAGAAAGGGAGGCTCTCCCTGTTGGAGAGGTGCTCGTCTCGGCACCCCATCACTTCTGCAGTGTTTGGGGAAGCAGCAGTGGGACTTCTGGAGACCACCCGTCACCCTTCCCTCTGGGCAAACTGTCCCAGAGCAAGGAGGCAAGCTCAGCTGCCAGCACCCTACCCTGCTGCTCACTGCTGCAGAGCTGGGGTTTGAGGCTCAGGGAAAAGGGACTGAGTGCCAGGGCGCCAGGCAGGGAGAAGGGGCTGGGGGTCAGGGAAAACGAACTGAGCACCAGGGAGCCGGGCAGGGAGAAGGGGCTGAGGCTCAGGGAAGACGGACTGAGCACCAGGCAGCCGGGCAGGGAGAAGGGGCTGGGGCTCAGGGAAGACGGACTGAGCACCAGGGAGCCGGGCAGGGAGAAGGGGCTGGGGCTCAGGGAAGACGGACTGAGCACCAGGGAGCCGGGCAGGGAGAAGGGGCTGGGGCTCAGGGAAGACGGACTGAGCACCAGGGAGCCGGGCAGGGAGAAGGGGCTGGGGCTCAGGGAAGACGGACTGAGCACCAGGGAGCCGGGCAGGGAGAAGGGCCTGGGCAGCAGATGGGGCTGCAGACATGGCCTCTCCCTCAGGCTTCTCCTCTCCCTGCGCTTTTGCGGCTGCTTTGTCGGGGGCCAATGGCAGCCTACTCTGGGAGAGGCCCGTGGCACAGGACGTGACCTTCGTGCAGTGCACTGGTCCCCAGCAGAAGAGCAGTGAGGCGTTGTCTGCCTGCATCCTCGTGGGCGGACCCGGATCTGTCATTGCGGTGGACCCCTTCACAGGTAGGCTGCCAGGTGCAGTGGGCGGGGCTGGCATCCAGGTAGCTGCAGTGACAGGAAGGTGTGTTGTCAGGATGCTTTGTGAAGGGTAAGCCCTGTGCCCCCGGGGTAGTGCCATCTGGATGAGGAGCCAGGAACTTCCAAACTAGGATGGACCGGTGATGCCAAGGCCCCAGTGCCGCTTTGCCCTACTGGTGTCTACCTCAGGGTGGCATTCTGTCACCTCGGATTTCAGTCCTGCTGTGGGGGCTGGTTTTGCTGAGCACCTGCCTCAGGTGGCACTGCTGGGAGCCCTGCAGTGAGGACAGAGGGGTTGCCCGTCACGTGTCATGAATGCCTGGGGCAAGCCCAGGCAGTGGACTAGACTGAGACCCTGGGGAATCTGGGCCTGCCGTGTGCGGGCCCTGCTGTGAACATGGGATGCATCTCCAGGTCCTGATGTAACAAGGCCTGTCCAGGCGCTGAGGGGAGGAACAAATGGGAAGAAGGAGGGGGTTTGTCTGGACGGGTCCCTTTCACCTTAGAAAGTCTTAAGGAATTCTTTGCGTTGACACTAGATTGAGTGGATATTAGCATTTCCCTTGCAGATTGTGGTTTTTCGGATATGGAACAGGCTGGAAACATCGTAGGAAGGGAGGACTTAGCCCCCAAACAGGCCACACCTGGCTGAGAAGGCCATCTGCCAGGACCAGGCTGCAGGACCAACGTGAACGAGCCCCTCCTTCGCCCCTTCTGTGCGGGGGCAAAGGCCTGAGTCCCGCAAGGTGACAGAGGGCAGCCCCTTCCCACCTCTGTGGGCAATGGCCAGCTTCTTCTCAGAGCTGGGCAGGAGCTTAGAGTGGAAGCTTGTGCACTGGCCCTGAGGTGTTCTAGAGCAATCCTTGTTCAGTGTCAAACATTAGAAAATACAGAGAAGCGAAAAGGAGGGCAAGCTCTGCAGTTCCAGTCTTCCTCTGCACGTGGTCGTTCCTTTCCGGGGTCACGCCATATGTCCCTGGCCTCCGCGGGCTGGGGAGCGTCTCGGCCTTGAGGGCGCAGTGAGCCAGTGCAGCCCCACGCTCTCTACAGCCTCCAGACCATCAGAGGCTGTGCCTTGTGCCAGGCTGTGATGGCCGTGGGTTTGGGGCCAGCACTCAGGGGCGGTGTTTGCGTTTAGGGGAAACCTTGTGGAGCCATCCCAGCAGCCCCGGAAGGAACATGTCCATCCTGAGTCTCCTGCTCGGGGTGCCCGACGTCAACAATGATGGGCTCCCCGACCTGCTGGTCCTCACCAGGGAGGAGAAGGAGGTACACACGGGCCCCGGACCCCTACCTGCATCCAGGGCACCAAGGGAAGCATGCCTTCACCCCCAGCGGGACTGGGCCTGATCATCTCCTCATCAGGCTGATCTGGGGCCTGTACTTGGCACCATAGAGCCAGCTGGGGGCTCCCTCTCTGCCAGGACCACCCGCTCAGCAGGCTGACCTGGAGCCTACCCCTGGCACCACAGAGCCAGCTGGGGGCTCCCTTTCTGCCAGGACCACCCCCTCAGCAGGCTGGCGTGGAGCCTGCGCTCAGCACCATGGAGCCAGCCGGGGGCTCCCTCTCTGCCAGGACCACCCCCTCAGCAGGCTGGCGTGGAGCCTGCGCTCAGCACCATGGAGCCAGCCGGGGGCTCCCTCTCTGCCAGGACCACCCCCTCAGCAGGCTGGCGTGGAGCCTGCGCTCAGCACCATGGAGCCAGCCAGGGGCTCCCTCTCTGCCAGGCGGCATGGTCAGGTCTGTCTCAAACCTCGATGCCCCTGGTCACCACAGGTGAATGGCTACATCTACTCGGGCAGCACTGGGAGCCAGGTCGGCCGCAAAAGCAGCCTCGGCGCAGACGGGGAGGGCAGCTCACTACTGCATGTCACCAGGACGGGCGCCCACTACCTCCTCTTTCCCTGCGGTGGGTGTGCCCGCCTCTTCCCTCGCACCCTCAGAGAAGCCGCGCGTATGAGGCTCTGGGGCTGCTCGGGGCTTGTTGTCTATGAACCAGCCCCCAGAGAGCCGAGAGCACAAACAGCCGGTCTCCCCGAGTACATGCCTGTCTGGGCAGCAGGCGGACTCCAGGCTTGGGAGGTGCCCCATGCCCTGGGAGCTGGGCTGGGGGCCCCACCTTGCCCAGACCCCGGCGGTGACGGCCGCTGCCTTGTGTCCTGAGCAGCGCACTCCCTCTGCGGCTGGTCCATGAAGAGTCTGTTTGAGGAGATGACAGGGAGACAGAGCCTCCTCAGGAAGGACCCGCTGTGGGAGCACGCCATCAACGCCACCACCCACAGGGTGTCGTCACCCAGGTTGGTCTGCATGCTGCTGTCTGCCACCACGTGCCCAGCTGGGGGCGGGGCAGGCCCAGGGTCCAGTGGAGCACGTCAATGGGAGCAGGGCTCTGCTGCTGGGATCCACGGGGCTGTCATGGGCTCGGACACAAGAACATAGCAAACAAAAGAGGAAAAACTGAGGGGCTGAGGGGGCAAGGTCCCCCACGGGGTCTCACCTCTTGCCAAGTGGAGTCTGGTCAGAGAACAAAGAAACATGCGGTGGGCGGATGGGCCAGGGGCCCTGGCAGCTAAAATGAGGCCTGTGTCCCCCTCCCCTCTCCCCTTGTAGCCCCGGAGCCATCCGCTACCAGATGCACGTCCCCGGGAGGGCCGGCGAGGACCTGCTTCTTGTGGGCTCTGAGGCCTGCGTGCTGCTGGACGGGCAGGACCTGGCACCCAAGTGGACCCTTGGCAACGCCCAGGTCTTCAGGTGCGTGTGGGGGCTCTCAGAACACTGGCAGCTGCGGCCACGGCAGGATGGGTGGGTCCTCCCAGCATCACAACCGTCCCTGATGACGAGGAGTCCATCCTGGCTGGTTGGCCCCTGTCCAGGGTCCAGGTGTCTAGGTGCAGCCGCAGGAAGATGAGGTGAGGGATGCCTGCCCCAGAGATTTCCTCCGTTAATTGCCTCCTCTCCTTCCAGAAAACCCGTCCTCGGTCACTACAAACCAGACACCTTGTCAGTGGTCATTGAAAATGGAACCAGCATCGACAGACAGGTGGGCTTCAAGTGGGGCCACCGTTGTCCGAAGCCGGACTGAGGGCAGTGCTGTGCCTGGCAGATTTCTTTGGAAGCTGTTGCTGGGATGGGAGGTGCCTCAGTGAGACGGCCCTCATGCCCGCTGCCCACAACCACCCTCTCCCCAGATCCTGCTCCTGGACCTTGGCACCGGGGTCATCCTATGGCGTCAGCCCCTCTCAGGCCTCCCCGGGAGCCCCCTGTCTGCCAACCTGCCAACCGCAGACCACCGCTCCGCCTTCTTCTTCTGGGGCCTCCCTGAGGGGATCAGCACGAATCAGACGGTATGGGGTGGGGTGGGGTGGAGGGAAGGGGACACATACGTATGGGTCACCTCATGCCAAGAGCACAGGGCAAGAGACAGTCCCCCCCAAAGCTGACCAGGATGGTGTCCATGGATAGAGGGGAGCCACACCGGCAGGGCTGGGGGCACCTGAGGGCCTAGGTCACAGGAACAAGGCAGGGAATGAGGGATTCCAGGAGTGCCGACGAGGCCTGGGTTCCAGCAGGGCGTGGCATGGAAGAGATCGAGCACCCGGAGAAGGAATAGGCTGGGGGGCTGGAAGATGGGAGCATTTGGGGGGGACCCAGTGGGAACCCCAGTGGACACAGCAGTCCTAGGCATGGTCGCTGACGAGGAGTGTCCATGGTGGGGGCCGGAGCATCTCCCAGGACGCGGTACGGAGTCTGGGGAGGCCAGCTGAGACATGGCGGTCCTCTCATTCCAGGAGACCAGGGATGCCCCCAACAGCCTCTACATGTTCCACCCCACCCTGCCCAGTGTCCTCCTGGAGCTGGCCAACGTCTCCGCCAACATCGTTGCCTTTGAGGGTGAGTGCGCCTCACTGGGTCCTTGAAGGGTCCAGGGTCGGGGCGGGGCAGCCCTGACGGCCATGTCCCTGCAGCTGTCCTGTTCGAGCCAAGCCGCCACGCTGCCTACATCCTGCTGACGGGCCCGGAGAGCCCAGCCGAGCCTGGCCTGGTCTCAGTGACCAAGCACAAGGTGCGGGACCGCATCCCAGACAGCAGAGTCGTGCGCCTGGGCCAGGACCGGGCCGAGAGCGACCAGGCCGTTAGGGACCGCTTCTCCCGGCTGCGGTACCGGAGCGAGGTGTGACGCTGCCGCCAAATTTCAACCTCCAGAAAGTCGGCCTCCCAGTCTCCAGAGCCACTCTGCCCTCCCGGCTGCGGCAGCACTGCCACAGGGGCTACTGCCTTGCTGGCCTCGCCACCCCGGAGGCCGTGTCCATCCTGTGCGGGCAAGGGGATGCCAGGACCCACTGTCCTCTCCTCCTCTCCTGGAGGATTGTGCTAGCCCTGACTGGGGTTCACTCACAAGGCCTGCGGAGTGAGGAACCCTGCAGCACCCCACCTGACCCTTGTCCTCACAGCTTCTCTCCAGGCCAAGGCCGTTCTTGGGGGGGGGGGCCCGAGTGTCCCCAGGCGTGTCCCACTGAAGCTTCTCCTCCCCTGTTTCCCTCGGCACCACCCCCAGGGGTCACAGAGCCCAGTGGCTCCACCACCACAGGTGGGCCCTGGAGGTGGTCTTGAGATGACTTAGCCCCAGCCTCCCCACAGCAAGGTGCCTCCACTGTGGTTGGGGTCGCTGCACTGACGACCGCTCTGACCCAGCCCTTGAGGAGGCGCTGGAGGGGCGGTCTCCCTCACGTGAGGGGGCCCCCTCCACTGCATGCCAGTGGCTCAAGCTATGGCCTGCACCACTGTGCCCCTCGCAGGCCTGACCCTCCCTGGTGCTCACCGCTGGAGCCGGGCTGCCTGCTGCAGGACTCACCTCTGTGCCTTGTGTCCCGGGCTGCGGCAGCTGTGTGGGCTCAGCCCCCCTGGACTTCCTCGGGCTGCGCTTTCGGACCGGAGCAGCCCGACCACTAGTCCCCACAGGAAACCAGTGAATAAACGTGTGCACTGTCCTGTTCAGAGGCCTCAGGGCAGGGGGGAGCCTCTCTCTGTCTGCCTGCCTGCCTGCCTGTCTGCTCCCAAAGGAGTGGAGTGGGTTTGCTCCTCGAGTAGTGGACTGCAGGGTTTGCTGGCTAGGTTTCAGGATCATGGTGGGAAGGGCAGCCAAGGAGGTGAGGGACCCTCTACATGTGGTTCTCAGACCAGGCCCCCTCCCAGGCTTGCCAAATCAGAGATTGGGGGGCAGGGTCCGAGTGTGTCTGGGGTCTAAGAACCCCTGCCCCATGACAAGTCAGCCTGGCCTCCTGCCAGGGGGGCCACTGTGGACCTCCCCCTTGGTCAGTGAGCAGGGGGCTTCAGGGACCAGAAACAGGAAGCAATGAGGTTTTCAGAGCCCCAGAAATGTCCTGTGGCCCCTTAAACACAAAATCCTTGCTTTATAGATGCACAAACCTCAATACCCAGTGTCACAGAGAAGGGCAGGGGAGGGGGCTCTTGCATGGGGGGCAGGTCCTTGCCCCAGGAAAGCCCAGCCCAGATAGCTCTACACAAAGGGGCTGCAGTGATGAATATCCTAAGTGGGAACCACAGGGGGCAGGTCAGGGGCTCAAGCAACATCCTTGGAGTCTACCAGGGGCAGTGTCCACAGGCCACCCTGAGCCAGCTGCAGTGCCAGGTGGGGGTCTGATTGGCCAGAGCTGGTCTCCGGTCCCCGCTGGGAGTGGTGAGCACCAGACAGAGTGCTGGACAGAGCACTGGGTTCGGCGGCCCAGCTTTGGAATTTGGGCCAGGCCCAGGGGCACCTTTGCTGGGGAGCAGGGGTTTCTGTTCCTCTCCTCCCCCCCGTAAACGCCTGCACCCGGATGGCACTGCCCCCAGCACTTACAGGAGAGATAGGGTGGCCCCTGTCACATGGTGACTCCCCTAGTCTCCGTCTGTCTTTCCCATAACCCGCATGACTGACCCCACTACCTCCAGCACGTGCCTGGAGCCTCAGACTGCCCTGCGCCCCGTGGCCACCAGAGTACAGGCTCCCCCCCAGTGAAGTCTCCCCAGAGATCCCACTCTTTGAAGTCCACAGCCTGGGCCCCTCCTCAGCCCCACACAGCCTGATTCATATAAGCAGAATGCCCCAGTTGACCTTCACCCCCTCCCTCTCATCTTTGTCACACACATGTACATATGCACATACATGCATACATTTACACACGTACGCAGACTCGCATGCACACACACACATACATTCCACGACCCACGGCAGGCAGGCCCTTAACAAGGTCATTTATTTCTGAGCTGGGGGGAGGTGTGGGCCATGTCGGGGGCTTCCCAGCTGAGCCGGTCAGAGCTGCATCCAAAGAGCCAGCCCGGACCGTCACCTCTGGGCCACATCCGGGAGGAGCTGCTGGGGCGCTTGGCGTGCACCACCCCAAAGGTGCTGCCCCACCCCGGCAAAGACCTGTGAGGCTTGTTGTCAGGAACAGTGATGCCAGAATCTTCTGTGTGCAAATCTAGTGGGGAAGCCACAGCGTTACAGGGGTCATGGACGTGGGCACCTGCAGGCCAAAGCCTGGAGCGAGAGCCACAACAGCCACAGTGAGCATAATGCCTGCAGAAATGGCCTGAGACATCATTGGGAGGTAGGGAACACGGCACAGGCGGAACATGCCAGAGTCCCCACTCGGGCTCAGCATTCCTGTCACTGGTGACAGGCACCACCTGTTGGAGACCACTGGCTTTGCTCCTGCTTCCCGGAGTTCTTGGTTGATTCGGTAGTTCTGGGGCCATGGGCACCCAGCGCCAAGGCCACTCCGGTCCCCTTCTCAGCAAGCCTGAGTGGGCCCTAGGGCACAAGGCACCGGGTGCTGGGGGGGGGGAGGTCTGGTCTCACCTGCCCATCTCGGCCTACCGTCCTTCAGGTAGCGCATCCCACCCAACCCGCCGGGCCACTGCAGTCCCTCCCTGGGAATCGGAGCCTGGACAGGTCCCTCTGGGAGGTGAGGATTTGCCCAAGGGGGAGGAGTAGCCTGAGAGACGGGGGCAGAGGCCGAGAGGACAGACGGTGAGCTCCATAATCCACAGGATGTCGGGCAGGAGGGGCTGGGAGGGTGAGGCACATGAAGGGCTGTGCCCACCTAGGCGTCCCTGTCCCCACCCCCGGGGGCAGCCGCTCCAGGCTCCCCAGAGGCAGGAAGGAGGGCAGGACTGGGGCTGGAGTGGCGTGGCTTCCGCATGAACGGGAATACCCTGTGGGCGAGAAGAGGGTGAGTGCCCAGTGGTGGTGGGCAGCAGGCAGGCACAGGCCCTGCCAGTACTCACCGTCTCTTGGTCTCCGGTGGGAGTACAGCACCCGCCAGCAGGCCCCTGTACATGTCGGACTTCAGGAACCGCGGGTAAGAGTCCTACAAGAGACAGGGCCTCAGCCCAGCTTCCCGAAGGCTGGTGGGCGTGCCAGCGGACGGGGCTGGGTGCTGCCCTCCCTGAGCCACCCAGACTTCAAGTCAGACAGAGCTGGGGGGGTGGCTTCCCCCAAGCATCCATAAACAGAGAGCGACCGGGGGTAGAAACGTAACCAGGAGCAAGGACCCTCCGTCCACCCTGTATAGGGAGTGCAGGACCCAGGGAAATAAAAAAGCAAGACAGAAGGAAATAGGATAGGATTGAACAAGGGGGGATCCAGGAAGCTATGTTCATCATGGCTTATATTTAAAAAAGAAAAATGTTCATTTTAAATCATTGACTTCAGTGGGAGGTAGGAAACAGGATGGAACTAGACTGTTCTGAATGCACCTTGCTTTTAGGTTCGATTTAAAACTGAGTGAATAGTTGACATAATTACAAAACAAAATAAGTAAATAAGCAATTCTTAAACATTGAAGGTGAAACAAGTGAAGCCAATGGCATGTCCAGCCCACAGGGAGCTCGTGGGCGGGACCCGTGCGCGGACAGGCCTGGGGGCGCCGTCTCCGAGCCCACCTTCTTCCCGAGCATGTAGATGTGCAGTTGGGCGTCATCCAGCACGAAGCGGTGTGGCTGGCGCGGCCCCTCCAGGGTCTGTTCCATCGTCCGGCTGTCGATGTTCACCCAGTGGGCTGCACGGGGCACCAGGAACTGCCTGAGGGTATATTCGCGGTGGGTCCCAGCCAGGCGCCCACCGCCAGGGAGCACCCCCGCCCCCCCCCC